TTTAACAACAATTCAAAAATACCCCAAAATATCATTGTATTGAATTCATGGAATTTTTGTAAAAAAATATTTTTTTTACACCAAAATAATTTAGGGGGGGCTTTAAAATATTTTAGTGGGGCTCCAGGCCCCCTAAAATAGGCCTAGTGACGCCACTGCAAGTATGAGAAAAGTGGCTGCAGCTGACAGGTGAAACACAACAGGTGTAGATGGGTGTGGCAGGCAGGATGGAAAAGTACTGACAGAGAGATAGAGAAGGAAAACACAAAAAATAAATAAATAAAAGGAAACAAACCTAACAACACAAAGGTCAGGCAAAGAAGAAAATAGCACAAAAGATCATGAAAACAGACAAAACATTTAAAGTAATGTTTTGCAAAACTGATCTGAACACAATAAAATGAAGAGATTTAAAAACTAAGAGTTGTCGGCTGGTTTATTGGGGGTCTTTTACAACTGTGAAGACCGGATTCTCCCTGTTGAGCAGCCTAGACCTCAAGACAACTAAAAGCAAAGGATTTTGTGTTCTTTTGTGTTCTAATCTGGAGGGCCACACATGAAAAGACAACAGGAACCGGTCCGTTTAGTCCTTTATAGTTCAACAATAAAGGTAAAGTTAATTCTAAAACAAATGGAGACAAGTACCGGAAAGAAATGTTTGTGCTTTTTTTATATTAGAGGAGCAGTATTCTGGACCAGCTGAAGCCGTGACAGCCAGGTCTGACTAAAACCATCATACTGAGAGTTCTGATAATCCAGTTAGGAAGTACAAAAAATAAAAATAAAAAATCGGAGAATCAAAGGATTTCTTACACGGAGCTAATTTGTTGCTCAAAGTTAAAATTAGAACCAGAAACAGGCTGAAGTCATAGATGCTAAACTTGGCTTCACAATCACAAACAGCATCATTTCTGTATTGGTTTCCCATGACAACATTAAGCCTAACCAAGGTCGTGATCCTGTATCCGCTCTGTCAAACAGGAATCAGTGTTTCTGCATGTGAAATGAAGACTTCARTTTCACCGTTTCAGCTAAAGGATGCAAATAAAGTCAAAAAAGAAACAACAAATAATGCAGTGTTTTAGGGATTTTAACMACTGTCAAAGTCATATTTTAGGTCATTACATCTATTAGTTGTTGCTGTTTAACTTAACTGAAATCAAGATTTTTATTTTTATATTTGGGTGGTGGGGCACCAAAAAGTTAGGGAATCACCTCAGATGTACTTTAATGTTTAGTTTGCTTCTCATTTGATATCTTATTGAAGCCTGTTCTATACTTAAATTTATATTTATATTAAGGTCTCTGCATCCTAATATTTGGGATACTGGCTTTAGTGTGGCTGCCTTATTTAGAGGGAGTACATTTTAAATTTTGTTTTTAATTTAAAAAAAATACATCTTTGTTATTACTCCTAATTTCTTATTGTTTGTTTTTGTGTTCATGAGGTTTAACTAATCCTAACTAGTTAGTGGAACTTAAAAATGTAGGCCTACATTGAGTAAAAGCTTGGGACTCAAGGATCAAGCTGTCTGGCCAAAGGGGGAGGGGGCATCAAATTATTATTGTTGTTGTTGTTGTTGTTGTTGTTGTTGTTGTTGTTGTTGTTGTGTTTGCTGGTGCCCCTGAAATAAGGTCATCGAACTAAATCAAATTAGTTTGAAAGCATTTCATCCACTTTTCCAGGTATACTGCAATTCATGGGTCCACACTCAATGTAAATAAAAACACTTTCATCTGCGAGCTTTACGCAAGAAATTGGAGCAAAAACGGGCACCAATCCATCAAAACTGTCAAACTTGTCAATCCCAAACTGCTCACCATTGACCAGTTTTCCATCGCATCTGGTATAGAAATCAAAAACTTGGTAAATTTTTAACCATTTATCATTAGTATGAGAGATAAGTTTTGTTCCTTTCTGGTTTTCTTTTTTGACCAGTCTTTCTTACTTTGCAAGAAGTACCTATACAGGAAGTTCCTTTTTTTATTTCATATCACTGTTTTCCACATCAAAATATTCATGCAAAGCCCACTGACGCTCATTAAAGAAGCCCTTCATAATATATTAACTTGCTGATGCTCATTTTGCCGTTTCCCTCCTAATCAGCATCACAACAACTAATAAGACGAGCACAACTCTAAGCATGCAGCAGAACAAAATCATCAGTTAAAATATGTTTGTTGGAGATGCTAATGTTGTCATGCTCATCACATAAGTCAGGGAGGATGATTGGTGTGACCCTGAGGTTGCCACGAAGCCACAACAAAAGTCACAAATCTGTCAGGAATGGGTTTGAGCACTATGTGCATGAGCATCATAAAATGTTCTTCATTGCAGCTTGTTGTTAATCTAATTAGTTGTTCTAAAACGCTAATTAGTTGCTTGTGTTTTATTGTCATCCAGCTCAGAAATTATTCTTTTAGGGGGAAAAAAAAAGTGGAGTTATTAGAAAACAGTGTGCCTGAATACAGAGGAGGCATCTCCTGCTGTTTTCTTGTGTAGATTCGTTAGATTTCACGCATCCAATGCAGAGACACATCTGCTGTGACCTGTCGTGCACGCGCCGCCGAGGTGGCCTTGCGCGCGCGCGCTGACGTCAGGCACGGGTGCCGCTTTTGTCCCGCGTGTTTAAAAAGTGAGAAATGACCGGTGCTGACAGCCAGACGCGTCCGCACGCAGAGGAGCGCAGGACCTACCGAACCCAACCGAACCCGAACCAGCAGCCATGCGTCACTCCCTGCTCCCTCTGTCCGTCCTGGGACTCCTCCTCGCGCTCTCCTCCGCCTGCTACATCCAGAACTGCCCCCGGGGCGGGAAGCGCGCGCTGCCAGAGGGAGCCAGCAGACAGGTGAGGAGGACACCAGCATCTCTCTTATTTCTGTTTGACCTCTATAGATATTGTTTATCATGCAAACTTATATTAAAATATTTCTTATTTTAGTTACATTGACAAATGATAAATTAATTAAAAATAAAGAACAACCATAAAATCAACATGAAGTGCTGGTTTGAGCAAATATAAAAGCCACTGGTAGCCTAATTTAATGKTTAAATATTTTACAGTATCAGCAAAAATAATAATTTTATTTCAAATATTTAAAAGTTTAAAAAGTACTCATCTGGTAACCCAAAATCATCATCATGACAATAAATAGGCAAAGAAATTAAGTATTTTGTACATTTTGTCTAAAAAAGAACAGTTTCACAATTAAATGTTTATATTTATTTTAATATTTCAGTTTGGACACATACTCAAAACAATACATGCATACACTGACATGTTTCCACATTTATTAAATAACTATTCACAGGCTTACCCTCACACTCTGTCTCTATAATCCATGTTATATATTTGTTGTTACCATTGCAGGCTCTGTGTTTATGCAATGACAAAATGTATTGTCTGGATTTGACCCATCTCATTGTGTGATACACCCAAGTGGTGCAGCTGTTTAAGCAGTACATGTGTTTTGCTCAACATCATGAGATTTAGGCATGACGGGGAGTCGAACCTGCAAGTGTTGAGTCTTCAGCCAGCTGCCCTGCTGCCCTTACTTATGTATGGATTTATTATACATGTCACTTGCAGTATCTGTTCTTACAGCAAAATGTTAAACCCACCTAATAATATGATTGGGTTTGTCCCATTGTGTGAACATCAACAGAAAAGGTGAACAATTGTTTTTATTTTACCTAATTTCTTTTTAAAAATTACCTTAATTTGCCCTCTTTTAGTGCATGTCCTGTGGCCCCGGAGATAGGGGCCGCTGCTTCGGCCCCAGCATCTGCTGCGGTGAGGGTCTGGGCTGCCTGCTGGGCTCGGCAGCATCGGTCCACTGCGAGGAGGAGAACTACCTGCTCACCCCCTGCCAGGCAGGAGGGAGACCCTGTGGATCCGAGGGGGGACGCTGTGCCACCTCAGGACTCTGCTGCAACTCCGGTACAGATTTGTCTCCCGGTTTTGTCGTGTTCAGTGGATTYATTGGCTAGAACAGGGGTGGGCAATCCTGGTCCTCGAGGGCCACAGCCCTGCATGTTTTACTTGCTTCTCTGCTCCAACACACCTGATATGAATGATTGGATGATTATCAGGCTTCTTGCAGTATGGAGGACCGAAACTGACATAATTAGAAATAAAAGCAGAATTATACAGTAGAAATGAACCACTAAATAAATACATTTGAAATGTACCAATTAAAATAACAAAGGAGAACTTTATCTCATGATTTTTTGTTTGAAATGACTTTAATATTTGTTTTTCCAGGTTAATATAAATTAGTCTATATATTTTAACATATAATTTAAATTTGAATGTTTTTTAAAATACATATATTTTTTGTTTTTCCTTTTACTTCTACATGCATTTGTGTCTCTTACATGTTTATACTTAATTATTTTTAAAATTTTTCCCACAAGGCTTTTTTATTTCCATGTGTTGCAGGCGTGTGCTGCCTCAGTTTAGCTTAAAGTTTAGTTTAAACCAAAGGCAAGGAGAAAAACTTACCCGTGCCTTTGTTTTTAACTAAACTTTAAACTTTAAGCTAAACTGAGGCAGCACACGCCTGCAACACATCGAAACAAAAAAGACTTGTGGGACAAAACTATAAAAATATTTCAATTTAAACATTTAAGAGACCAATGTATGTACAAGTAAAAGGGAAAACTGAAAAATATATATTTTAAAAAAGAGTCAAATTTGAATTGTTAAAAAATATCAATTAAACGAGAATTAAATTACAAAACATGAGGTGGAGTTCTTTTTTAATTGAATAGGTGCATTTTAAGTGTATTTATTTATTTAGTGGCTCATTTACATATTTCTGCTTTTATTTATAATTATGTCAGTGTCGGTCCTCCATACTGCAGAACTTAGAAGGTAAATCAATGTCTGAATCAGGTGTGTTGGAGCCAGGAAAAACGTAAAACATGTAGGGCTGCGGCCCTCGAGGACCAGGATTGCCCACCCCTGGGCTAGAATATGTTGTGAAGTGATCCGTGTTCGCTCTGCTCCTTCTCAGAGGGCTGCGCGGTGGATTCCAACTGCCTCGGCGAGACGGAAGCCACGGATTCAGCCCAGAGCTCTGCACGGAGCTCGCCCACAGAGCTGCTGCTTCGTCTCCTTCATGTAGCCAGCAGAGGACCCAATGAGTACTGATCCACCTGCTTCCACAGCTACTGAGCCTCACGTTCTGAACTCTGAACCAAGTCATTTTCATCCCCTCTGTGCTAATCTGGCCTTTTGTTGTTATTATTATTTTACAAAGTAGAAGGGAAAAATCCCACTATCAGTGTTAAATGTAAATTTTGCTCTCCCCTTTAAAACTGTATATACTTCTGCACATAATATAAACAATACTGAGCTCAAATTCTGATAACAGTTATAACAAAACAATGTAAATAAATGATCATAAATTAAGCTCGTCACTGACAAACAGCTGAGATACAATGCTTGTGCAGCAAAAACATTATTGTACATAAAAAAATTGAAAGGAAAATACAGACTGTACCACTGCCAAGAAAYGCCTGTGTGGTTTGTTCCCGTAATAAATGTAGTTTCATATTAGTCACACCTTGTTTCTGCTTCTGTGTGAGAAAGAAAAAAACAAAACAAAAAGAAAGTAGTTTCAACCAGAGCAAAGAACTGCATCTGAGAAAATCAACTCTAATAATTGCTGAAATTTAGTCAGTCATTTATTGGGAGTTTTCTGCACCCATTAACATTCTTTTTATGCATGCATATAT